AAAGTCATGCAAATCATTTGTATACTCAGTCATAGATCCTTGAGGTGAAAGAAAAAAAAACCTTTTAGGGTTTCCCCCATTCATTGCAGACTTGTTTTCTATTATACATTTACTAGCATTTTTCCAGTTTTAAATGTGCCAACCAGTGGTGCAAGTAGAATTCATTTCTGACTGATATGCTGCACCAGCTAAAGGGGAGAGGGGGAGGCGTGTGACCTCCCACGTGACCCCGCCCCACCCCCAGCCCAGGGCCTGTGCTCTCCCCTTCCAATCCCCATGATCCGTGCCATGTTACCTGGGCGGGGAGCACTCCCAGGGGGTGGACACCTCACTGCTGCTGTGTGGGCTGCTAAGAGAAGAGGAGGGCTTGCTCTCTGGAACAATAGCCACTTCACAGTCACACCTGCTTTGGGAATTGCCAGCAGAAAAGCTTCAAACCAGCTCCCTCTGACAGCAGAGAATATTTTTTTCAGACACGCTGGCAACCAAGCCTCATGCCGGCAGCTCCTCCTGCATGGTTGTACTGCCCCCAGCCCCGCCCCCAGCCCTTCCATGCAGCTGCATCTCCTGAGTCCTGTCCATGGGGGGTCTTTACAGCAGCCCCAATGCCAGGCTCTCCTGGGAACTGCAGTGGTGAAAAGAGCAGAACGTGAGACCGCACTGGCAGCCCCACGCCGGCAGCTCCTCCAGCACAGCTGTATTGCCCCCAGCCCTGTCCCCGGCTCTGTCCTCCGGTGGGGCTACTGTACAGACCCCGGACAGGAGACACAGGCACCAGGGCTGGCTCCAGGCACCAGCTTCTCAAGCAGGTGCTTGGGGCGGCCGGTCGGGAGAGGGGCGGCAGGTCCAGGTATTCGGCAGCAATTCGGCGGACGGTCCCTCACTCCGGCTCGGAGTGAAGGACCACCCGCCGTAATTCGCCGCCGCAGATCGCGGCCGCGGCGTTCTTTTTTTTTTTTTGGTTTTGGCTGCTTGGGGCGGCCAAAACCCTGGAGCCGGCCCTGACAGGCACGCAGCTGCCTGGCAGGGCTGGGTGCAGTACAGCTGTGCCGGAGGAGCTGCTGGCATGGGGCTGCCAAGGCAGTCCCACATTCTGCTCCTCCTGTGTCTTTCCAGTACGCCGCACCGGCTATCAATAGCTTATTGGTACAGCATACCGGACCAGACCACCCTACTTGCAGCACTGGTGACAATCCAAGGGGCTTTCAATGATTCCCTAGGGAGAAGGCTAATGGATCTGTCAGAAAATGCATCCTGATACTCAGGCTAATAGAAAGGTAGCTGAATCCAAGAGTGGGAATTTAGTGATATTGTACCCACCAGACATACAGTACAGAAAATAATGCACTCCTTTTCATGATTTAAAAGTAATTTTTAGATGAAATCTAAAACATAAGCACCATTTCACATTTTTAACTCTGCATCTCCCATTTTATGCCACTGTGATGCTACACCCCATATTATTCATAGAAATATTGTTATGATATAAATATGGCATAACTAAAATATGTTTTATTCAAGATGGGGCATGTGAGCGATCATTGGAAAGATTATGTTTTTCTGAATATGATTATCCTATTTGTATACATGTATCATTTCTGTATCTGAAGTTGGGAATATTGACTATGTAACAATTACAACTATGGTTACACCTGGGAAACCCCCATCAGACAGTATGTAATCAGCCTGGATGGGCCATTAGGAAAGACTATGGGTCTTTGAAAATGCTGATCTCCCATCTTCCTGGAGTCCCTTCCTGTGGGCCTTACAAATAAATCTTGTTTCATGGTTGCTTTGACACTGTGAGGTCATGTGATCCACCTTGGACACTGCGGGTATTTTTCCACTCGAAACAAAGGATTCCCGCCTTATGTAAATCCTATTTAAGGCTGGGAAGTGAGTTAATCTGGGCTCTTCTCCTTTGCCTCCCTACCCAAGAAACCAGAACTAAGCTAAGGGAAAGGCAAGAGCTGAGTCCAGGCTGAGACAGGGGTCTAGCCCGTGAAGAGAAATAACTGGAACTTTAAGCTGCAGAAAGTCTGCAACCTGCCTAAAACAACATTTAGGGTGAGAAATTACTATTTGTAACCGGTTTCTTTAGGGAATTAAGCCTATGTTGCGTGTTTTGCTTTATTTTCTCAGTAATCTGCTTTGTTCTGTTTGCTATCCCTTATAATCACTTAAAATTTACCTTTTGTAGTTAATAAACTTATTTTTTTGTTTATTCCAAAACCCAGTTTGTGCAATTCATAACTGGGGGGGGGAGGGGGAGGCGTAAAGAGCTGTGCATATCTTCCTCCACGTTGAGGGAAGGGGCAATTTTTAGGAGCTTGCACTGTGTAGATCTCTATACAGAGCAAGACAATATTCTTTTGGGTTTACACTCCTAAGGGGATGTGCACAGGAGTGCTGGGCAATCCCTTACCTGAGTCCTCCCACAGAGAGCTGATCACAGACTCTGTGTGATTCTATAGCTGGGTGTGTCCCTGCCTGTGTGTGTGCTGCAATGGGGCTTGAGAGCCTGTCACGGCAGCCCAGAGTAAGGGAAATCCTGGCTGGTGGGACAGGTGGTCTCATTGGGACCCCAACACATCTGGTGGCACCCCCGAAAGGAGGGTCCGAGCCGTCGCAGCCACCTCCCTCCATCTCCCAATATCTATTGGCTAGCAAAGAGCTGAGTTTCAGCATCTCTGACTTGGTAATGCATAGTCAGGGCCTGTTGAAGCAAATACGACCCTGAAAGAAGCTACAAGGGCCATGATTCACTGTGCAACCAACTGCCCTGCCTTTCTGTGGAACTGGCATGGTACAGATTACAATGTGAAGGAAAACTGCCTTTGCAGTGTTGGGTAGATTAACTGGTCAGAGTCTAAACTCAGTTATACCAGAGTAACAGAGATCAAAGTCCGGCCCACTGTATTAAAATGTGTAAAAAACTGAAGAGAAGGATATAATATCAATCCAACACAATTCACTCACAAGCCAAGATACTGACAGCTCTATAATTACCTTCATCAAGCATAAATGACAGTGTCTCTTTGTTCCCTTTTTTGTCATTTCACAATCTTGCCTACCATTTACATTCTCTGTGCTTTTTACAGAATGGAGTTCGGTGATACCAGTTCAGTGAACTGAAGTACTTCTGATTATTGGTACATCCCCATTTCCAAGGGCAGCCTGAGCACTTTGCCAACCTGATCTGCCTCTAAAAGAGTAGCCATTTGAATGCAGTTAGCTACAAAACCACAGTCTCCAGAAAACAGTATTTCAAGGCCAGATTCTTGTGCCCTTGCGCATGTTGTGTATCACCCACACTGCCAGTCATCCCATTGATTTCTGGCCCTAACGTATCATTGCCTGGAGCATTGTCACTGGGGACCATATTTCTATGACTCACAGCTTCCAAGTGATTTCAGTAAGACTACTGGCAGAGTAAGGTGCTACTCAGGATGAGCAAGGGAATCAGAATCTGGCCCTTAGTATTTACAGATAGTGAGTTTGAGAAAACGTGACCTCATTCCCAAGGGTGTTAGAAGTACTTCGATGAACATCTTGAAATTTTGGTCCTTCATTTCCTTCCTTCTCCAATTTCTAGCACACCAGCAGGTAGAGGTGTTTCAGGGGATACTTATGGGTACCCACGTGGTCTGAGAGCTTGCCCTGGCCCATTTTAGACCTATAATTTAAAAAAAAATAGAGACTTTTGAGATCTGTATGAAGTTGCAGAATTGCAGAAAGAGATTTTGAATGAGAAATATTTCCCTTATTTCTTAAAAAAATCATACCAACTTACAAGGGACAATGCAACTGTACATTCTGTGAAACCTATCCTCACCTTCTTACCACACACCTAAGGGTATATAAATGGCGGCCACTCACACTATGTGAGGTCAGTGAGACAGCACTGGTCTTTTCATCAAATAGCACATTAGGGGCTTTACCCAAACGCCATTGAAATCTATGGGAGTCCTTCCATCCATTTTAATGAACTTTTGATCAGGCACTAGTACAGCCAGAATCTGACAATCCAAGAAAATAAACAGTTGAGGATAAATATTCACTTATGTCCTGGCCCACAACTTCCTAATAATTTCACTGGAAGGTGGGGCCTTACATAAATGATCAACTCTATGTATGAGCTTGAAAAATCTACACAACAGAAAGCAAGTACATTAATGCAGACTGGTAAGAACATTCTGATCAGCCTTCCAGATGTGGGGGTACGTCTGAGCCCCTGTGCTACTGCTGGCATCATGTTCCTGCAAACGAGTACATCAAGGCACATGCCAACAACAAAACACCACCACATGTAAAACTAGGGACATACCAAAAAGGAATTGAAAAAAATATTCAATGTAAAGCATAAATTAGACACACCTGCTGGCACTTCAACTCACCTGAGCCTTCATTGGAATACAAGAGCCAACAGTGCCCTGGGAGAGGTGAAAATTGCTGTTAGAGCCCAATTCTGATTTATCTTACACTGGTTTTATACAAGTATAATTCCATTGGTGTCAATGGAGTTATTCCTAATATACACACACATTGTTATAAATTATACCAGAATCAGGCCTTTAACCTGTGCATTTAGGACTCACAGTGATGATGTTGGAATTCTTAATGTTTAGTTAAAGGTCAGTTCCTGCACAATAATATGGCAGGTATTTTTCCTTCTGTTACATACTGCCAGCCTGAGTAACGAGTGATGTAGCAATGCTTAAATGACCAAATAATTCCGAACACTTAACTTAAATGGCAGCCTAAGAAGGTAAGCGGTTTCCTTTCCAGCATAAAGGCACACATAATCATACTAGCTAGATAGTTCTGTTTATGCTTATTATACATGGGCCAACTAATAGTCTAATTGGTAGCTAATGTGTGTTTATCGTAGTAATGGTGTGTCAATATCGCAGAACTGTCAAAATAATGTTTCTACTGTTCTATCACTTTGTATATGTTGGTCTATTGAAACCTTAATATTTTCATCAAAATTTAATATGATAAATGCCACATCTCTACTATACCAAAATAAGCAATTTATGCTGTATTAGGGTCTTCTGTATCAGAGTAGCATCTTTTAACTTTTATGGGGTGAATAAATAATCTATTACCAATGACAGCTTCAAGTTCAAAACTGAATTGAGTAGTATAAATTCACTTCCTTTCAGTTCATCCCTAAAATAAACTGTGAGAGGCTTATTCACTCATTAAAAAGGTTTGGCGGGGGGGGGGGGAATCTGCTGTATCAAAATAATTATATAAAGCATTCAGTCTTAAAGGAAAAAGGATGAGATCACAGAACCACTTCAACTTTTGGATGTAATCTTGTTAAAATGAAGACATTAAACAAAATTAACAGAAAGGCGTTAAGTACAAATCTATAAAAATGCCCAATTTATTTACACTGTGCATTAAATTCATCATTTCATGTGAAAGGACAGTTATTGTCACTGTAAGGTTTCCTAATCCACTTTCAGATAAAAATAAAGAAGGCTGCATTTAGAAGCTTTGTAGACTTTTTTCCCCTTCTGACAGCTTTCAAGTGGCAGCATATTATTTGGTTGCTGCTACATACAAAGTGTCTTAATTAAAGGTTGTCTAAAAATACAGAACATTTTCACAACCACATCTGCCATTAACTCTTCTGACATTCTGGTGGCATTAAGTACCAGAAAATTATTTGCAGATTAAATAGAATTCCACTCTTCTTGTGCACTGTCTTTAGAGCAATGGTTACAAATTTAAACAGCATGTTTGCAATTGGAAAGCATGATAATTATTGGAGGTACTGCAGCCTGTTCTACTAAAACAGCAAAATGGCTGTGCCACTCCTTTGAGACCCAGAGTGCGTGCCTATCACAGACTGTAATTTATACTCCATTTCTTTAGGGTTTATTATTTTAGTCTAAATTAGGGTGACCAGACAGCAAGTGTGAAAAATCGGGACAGGTGGTATGTGTGTGTGGGGGGGGTAATAGAAACCTATATAAGAAAAAGACCCAAAAATCGGGACTGTCCCTATAAAATCGGGACATCTGGTCACCCTAGTCTAAATTGTGGCTTTGCCATGAGACCTGAGCAAAGGACAGCAGGTTGTTGTGCTGCAGCAGGAGCCAGTCTGCCTCTCTGCTACCCCTTGCCGAGTACACTACATCAGAGGCGAAATCTGGGCCCCATTTTAGTCAATGGGGCAACTCCCACTGATTTCAATAGGATCAGGATTTCATCACAGTTCTATACCCAGTGTGGTGTATATCCTCTGGCATGCGGGTGCAGAAATGCTTAACTGTTGCACAAGGCTTTTTGCCCAGTCCATGCCTCTTCCCACCCTTATGCATAGGAAGGGTATATAGCAGCCCTATATTAGCAGTTTGCTGGAGTCACTCCCTAGAAATCTGTATTTGTAGTGTTTTGAAACAACATTGAATTGGGGAAAAAAAGAAATATATTAGAAAACTAGTATCCTATATCATGCCATTCATTTTTAAATGGACATTCTGCTTAAAATGATGCCACACTAACTCCTGAATATCAGAAAGTCACGCTAGCGTATGAACTTGCTGATAAGAGTATTACATGAGCAGGACAGCTGTGGGCAAGAGCAATGAAGCTGAGCAGATCTGAGACACAACAAAAATGAGAGGTTGCTTTTTTACCCTGGTTTTCTCACCTAAAGATGCAGCTGACAATGAAAAAAGGTTAAGATGGTGGCAAAAGCTGTGGCAGGACTTACAACACATACAGTGATATTATGAAAGGTGGGTTACTTAACCTCAAAAAAACATTAATGGGAAATTTAATTAAGAGATTAAGATTAGGAAGAGTTAAACAAAATACTGACCAGTATCTCATTTTTATGCTGTCTTGTGATTTAAAAAAAAAAGGAATAATTCAGCTGAATTAATGGAAGGCACATTTAAAACTGAAATGGATACACTGCTTCTGCAGAATTCACCGCTACCAGCGGTCACCAAGTCAAGTACTGTGGCTTACTAATTATGATCAACCACATTTGCAGTTGTGCAGACCAAGATAAAGGTAACTACATTTCATGTTTTAGGGAAAGAGTTGATTCCTCAGTGAAGCCAGAAATGGAATATTCCTGTTTACATTCCATGTACAGAGCTGCACAGGTTTCTAGATGCATTATGAGTTTTCACCTTCCTTTGAAGCACCAGCTATTGGTCAGTGCCAGATACTCGACCAATGGTCTGAGCCACTGTAGTAAATTTTATGCCCCTAAGATGCATACACAATGATAAGTATTCAGTTAATATAAATAATACAGCTTTTTGCCTTGGAGCTATCATTTCAAGCACTTTTATTGTTTTGGGTCTTTTAGATTATTCTTTAGATTGCAAACCTGCCAGAGCAGGCCTTGTCTCGCCCTCCCGCCCCCCACAGCATCCAGCACAAAAGGTCCTAATTTCAGTTGGTTGCTGCTATAATGCAAATATTGACAATAACAACAGCTCCTGATGATTAATATTATATCGTTACTTCACTTGCAGTCCTTTCAACTTCACCCAGACTGATGATGACATTCTAACAGGAATAGCAGATTCTGCTTTCCTTTTTATTTCAATATATTGGTGCTTCTGAAAAGTTGGAGGATTCTGACAGTTTGTTGACTGATGAGGAATTAAAAATTGATACTAAAACCATATCATAGCTTTAATTCATAGAAGGTAAAATTAACCCCTGAGAAAGGCCAGTATCCTGAGTATCAAAGGGTCAAATGCATGATGGTGTGATTTTGATCTCAAGATAGATACAGGCCTTCTGCACAGGGGTAAATTTCACCCCAAGAAAAGAGTGTGTCAGAAAAGACAGTGTGAACAGAATTAAGACAAAAAAGTTGGGAAAATTGCACCTGTTTGTTTCTATTTAACAATCATGTATTCCAAATGTTTTATTAGGATAATTTAGGGAAAATAGTGTATGCAAATCATTTGGCCTGATCCTCTTGTTTAAAAGTTATTACACTAGCAAGCAGAGTATATGGGTGAAGTCCTGCCCCTTTAAAATCAAAAGGAGTTCTGCAATTGATTTGAATAGGGTCAGGATTTTACCCTGTTTTGTAAGAGACAGAGTAGTGGAAGCGGGACAGTATAACAACGGAGTGCATTGCTTTAGAAAAGATAGGACGAGAAAAAAAAATAATACTTTACCTATACCTCTGAGTTTCCTTGCTCTGTTGTTAATGTTTTTCAGTTGTTTTCAATTAAGATAAATGTCTGAAACACAATGGCATTATGTTTGAACTCTTTTCTGTTCAATATAAGTGGATTTTAAACAGGAAGCTGACAGTCCTTTTGAATGTGAAACTTTGTATTAGAACCAAATGTCGCTCTTTAATCTCATTTGGTACATATACTAAAGTAATTATTGCTTTATGAAACCTTTTAAGAGATTTATATACTCCATCAAATTGTACTTATATGGCTACTGCTCTTTCCTTTAGATTTCAAACTAAAATAGAAAAAAATCGTCAACTTTCTTAGAACTGTTTTATTTCCTTTTATCATAAAAAAGCTGTTAAGTGAAGTCATTTTCTCCATTGTGGTTTAAGGCTACAGCAGTTCTTGGGTGTCTATCAAAACATACTTTCCATACTTAAAGTAGGTAAGGTGGTTTTGTTTTTTTGTTTCCCTAAAATTGAATTTCAGCCTAATTTTTCTGATCACTATTTCCTAGTATTGCAGTCACCATGTCTTACCTTTGAAAGAAAGTAACAGTATGAAGTTTAGTTTATTTTTTCTAAGAATTGTGGGCCACATTCTTATACTGTAACTCATGTTGAGAAACACCTTTATTTCAGTGGAAGCAGTCATGGAATAATGTGATTTTCAACTTGAGTAAGAGTAAACAAATCTGGCTTTCGAAGGATAAATATTCTAGGTGATTGGAGGGGAGACTAACAACAAAGGAATTCTGATGTATTTATTTTTGCTTAGGCATAAAATATACCTATGTTGCTGATTATTACCAGAGATGCAGTCATAACAAAGGCATTCAGTATGAACAGAATTTGACTCTGACTAAATATCTAATGAAATAAACATATTTTAATAATAAACTAAGGTATCTTAGGAAAATAAAGTGAATCATGAATATTAAAGAGGAAAAGGGCATAATAATATGAGCTGCTGAAGAGATAAAACTGATGGAACGTTATCTGAATACTGATTTCTGTCCAACTAACTTATGTGATTACAGGTCTACATTATTACAGTAGCTCAATGAAGATCATAGCCCTGTTGTGCAAAGTAATGTGCAAACATATGGAGAGACTCCCCGCTCCAAAGAGAAACTAAAACAGATAAGCCAGCCAAAGGGTGAGAGAAAGGAAGTATTATCATCATCATTTGACAGATGGGAAACTGAGGCACAGAGTGATTAAGAGACTTGTGTGAGGCCACAGAAGTCATCTAT